TTTTTTTCATTCTGAAGCCAAGTATGAGTTGGAGGAAAGGTGTGATAAAATTTTCCTATATTCTCAGGGGGTTCTCACTGACAGGCAGTTCAAGGAAAATGCAACAAAAACGCCTGCCATACCAGGAAAAGGCAAACAGCCAGAGGTATGGTAGAGAAGATATGCCTTTTAACACTCTGAATTGTATTACATGGTTACTTAAATCTGTATCATAACTTGTAACTTCTGTTTTTTTTTTTTTCTCTCTCTTTAGAAGGAAATTTCCTCAGAAGCACTTCAGATTACTTTAAATTACTTATCAGGCCAAACTGGGTAAAACTGTCTTTCTAAAGAGCCATTCACGTTTAAAATGTGGACATGGAGCTCCAACCCCATGCCAACTGAGTGTTTTAATAGCAGTTTTCTGATATTTTTCCAGTACTTTATAAGTGAAAGGGGATCCATGTATTTATTTTGTGATTATTGTTCACCCAAATAAAATTTGCCTCTTGCAAAGCACCAGTAGAGAAAATCAATCATTGAACGTTGATTGCAGGTCATGAACTGCAGAGCCTATTGGGCAAAATACAGGGGATCAAAAGAATGTGAGCCTGGTCTTGGTAAAAAATGGCATTTACCTTCTAGTCATGAAGGCAGGATTGGATTTGAGGCCCATCTCCTTCAGCCACACATTCTTCTTTCAGACGTCTCAGCAGTCTTGATAATATTCAGCTTTTGTTTATACTCGGTAGAACCTAGATTTGATTTCTAAGGTTTGTCTTCCTTCCGTGACCTGAGAGAAAATCACTCTCAAGGCTGCCAGTTGTGGTCTGTAGGTTGTGCACCTGACTGGGACTGTGTAAGGTTACATAGTACCCAGCCTGCACATCGACACATGTTGGCCCTGACCACTGTGTCTAGATTATTTCTGCCAATCGCCAATCTTACCTATTCTGTGTTGATGTCATAGATTTAATACTCAGAGTTCTAAAGGAGGATTGCCTTACTTTTATCCCCATGTACTAACCATAAAAGATACAAAGTAAATGCCAGACATGGTGGCTCACACCTGTAATCCCAGCACTTTGGGAGGCTGAGGCAGGTGGATCACGAGGTCAGGAGTTTGGCACCATTTACTGAACATTCACTAAGTGCAAGAAGATACTAGACCTTGCCTTTAGAACTGCACTGTCCAATTCAGCGACCACTAGACACACATAGCCATTGTGCACTGGAAATGTGGCAAGTCCCAGTTGAGACATGCTATAGATATAAAACTCACTTTGACTTGTGAAGACCTCATACAAAAAAGTAACTATTTCATTATTAATGTTTCATATATTATATATCAAAATGATGTTTTAGATACATTAGATTATATACAATATATTAAGATAAGTCTTATATATGTATATATATTATATAATGTATTAAGATAATACACAATATACAATTAAGATTATATACAATATACTAAGATACATCTTATCTATTTCTTATTATTTTTTAAAGTGTGGCTACTAGAAAATTGAAAGTTATGTGTGTGACTTGCATTTGTGGGTCATATTATCCTTTTACTAGACAGTGTTTCTTTATAATTAATAGAAAGAGAATGACGTGTAAGCACATCACTGTAAGTCTGCGGGACAAGTGGTTTAAGCGGGGTACCTATGAAGTATGGAGAAGGGTGCAGCTAATGAGCTGGTGTGCTCAGGAAAAAAGGCCGAAGAGCCTAGAAGCAGTAGTAGGAAACAATAGAAATGCTATTATCATAGTTGCTCTTGATTTAGTTAAAATGGTGTATTACTAATTTAGAATGGTTATTATTGATTTGTCTTGTTATCTGAATGACAACAGTATTTTTCTTATAAAAACGACTCAAACATCATGCATGCATTATCTCAGGGTACCACCAGATGGTGCTGTGTTCTAGGATTGAAAAAGGCTGGCAAGAAAAAGTGGCACTCTTGACTTTCAGTGGTTCCTAAGCTTTTCAAAAGGGCACTCGGAACATTTTTGAGCTTGCAGACCCAATATATGTATGTCCATTTAAAAAAATAAATTATATACCTAATATTGAACTAATACATTGTGGCAATTATAAGATACACCTATAGAAAAATTGAAATATAAAAGGCTATGATAGACTGAAATTCTAGTATTTCTTTCCTACACTACAATGAACCTCTTTTGGGGATTGCATATCCCTGAGGTGTGTGCATCTGCCCTTTGAGAACGCTGGTTTATTTAACAATTGTTGTATAATTTTATTTTATTTTTCATCTTTATAAAGATAAAAGTAACAACAAAAAATATAAAACAAAACCTTTTTTTACTACGCATGGGTATTAAAATATGGATCACAGTTACCTGTCAAACCATTTCAAACACTGAAATTAGAAAAAGTTAAGACTTTTTCCTGGGGGATCTTTGTATTTTTCAGTTTTAAACTAGATTTAGTGTAATGTATCAGAATCATAAATGGAATAAAATAGCAGACCAAGTCTAAATTTTTTTCTGTTATATATTTTGTTGTTCAAAAATCAAAAATGTTAACTTTAAAGAGCATTAACAACCAAAGCAAAAGAATGGGTATAAATGCCAATGGTGCCCATATCAAATAAATATGTAGAATTGAATTTTTGACTGCTAATTTTCCTTTTGTGTTATTAATGTATGTATTTATTTATTTGGAATTAAATTTTTTAAAACCCTAAAAATCTCAAAACAAAGAGGAAAACTTTATTAGACTGACTTTATTAGAGGAATACAATTGCAGTTTTCCCTGATTTTACAGAACTCTCTCTGTATAAAGTTTTTTTTGTTTGCTTTTGTTTTTGGTTTTTTATTTGCATAAATTTTAAGAAGTACAATTGCAGTTTTATTACATGGATATATTGCATTGTGGTGAAATTTGGGCTTTTAGCATGCATATCACCTGAATAACATACATTGTATCTATTAAGTAATTTCTCATTCTGTACCCCCTCCCACCATCCTACTGTTTGAGTCTTTAATGTCTATTACTCCGCACTATGTTCCTGTGTACACATTATTTAGCTTCCACTTATAAGTGAGAACATGCTCTATTTGACTTTCTGTTTCTGAGTTGTTTTACTTTAGATAATGGCCTCCAGTTTCTCCACGTTGTTGCAAAAGACATGATTTCATTCTTTTTTATGGCTGCCTAGTCTTCCATGCTGTATATATACCATGTTTTCTTTATCCATTCATCCGTTGATGGATACTTAGATTGATTCCATAACTTTACTATTGTGAATAGTGCTGTGATTAAACTATGAGTGCAGGTGTCTTTTTGACTGATTTCTTTATTTTGGGTAGATACCAGTAAATCCCAGTAGTCGGATTGCCGGGTTGAGTGGTAGTTCTATGTTTAGCTCTTTGAGAAATCTCCAAACTGTTCTCCATAGAGGTTGTACTAATTTACATTCTCATCAACAGTGTATAAACATTCTTTTTTATCCCTATCCTCACCAACATCCATTATTTTTTACTTTTTAATAATGGCTATTCTGACTGGTATAAGATAATACGTCATTGTGGTTTTAATTTGCATTTATCTGATGATTAGGGTTGTTAGGCATTTTTTCATATGCTTTTAACTTTTGGATTTCAGAGAACAGGTGATCCTTGTTACTTAGGTGATTTTCACTGGCCAGATGATTCTCCCGGGTCAGGCCATCTCATGGTCAGGTGAGTTCATGGTCAGGTGATCCCTGCTTGTCCAGTCAGTTGTGGTGGAGGCCGAGTCTGGATGACAGAGTATAAACATGAAACCCAAATTTCAGAGAATAAGGATTATGGGCTAGGTAGAGACTCCAGCAGGCATCATCTAGAGCAGGGGTACCCAGCCCCTGGGCCTCGGACTGGTACTGGTCTGTGGCCTGTTAGGAACCAGGTTGTGCATCAGGAGGTGAGCGGCAGGAGAGTGAGCATTACCGCCTGTGCTCTGCCTTCTGTCACATCAGCTGTGGCATTAGATTCTCACAGGAGCCCAAACCCTATTGTGAATTGTGCATGCGAGGGATCTAGTTTGCCTGCTCCTTATGAGAATCTAATGTCCTAATGCCTGATGGTCTGAGGTGGAACAGTTTATTCCTGAAACCAACCCCCAACTGCCACCCCTGGTCAATGGAAAAATGATCTTCCACGAAACTGGTTCCTGGTGGCAAAAAGGTTGGGGACCACTGATCTACAGTAATTCCTGGCAATTACACCTGCATGATATTTTAAATCCTTTTTGTAAGACATGTACAGTGTGGTATCGATAAGGATGCTGGATTGGGAGTTATTGACCTTGGTAATCATTATGATACTCACGTGACCACTTTACTCATCAGTCTGAATTCATCTGGATACAAGCATAACACTAAGTCTCCCCATTAAAATCGACAAATCAATCAATTCATCCATAAAAATATGAACATTAAGGAAAGCCAGATAAACAAAATTGGTTACATGAGTATCATAATGATTACCAAGGTAATGAGTAGACATGGTTTATCAAAGTGAGGGGCAGAATGCAGGGAAGAAAGCAAGCTGAGGACTCACTGAGACCAATAAAGGATCTACTTTTTTGTCAACCACAAATCAGGGTAAGTAAGAGTGTTAGGCAATTAGGTTGATAAGTAGCAATAACCTATTGTCCATGTCCTTGTATTAATCAGTTGTGTATTAATAAAGGAACAATTTTGAAAACCTCTTGCAGTTGACCTCTGAATTGCGTTTTCTGTTCGCTTTGGTCCTTGGCAGTAGCTGAGGAGTGGAGTTTACGGCCTTGTTTAGCAGCACTTTACAGAGCAAATCATGCCCAGGGGATTCTGTCATCCTAATTTTATTCATTGAATCAGGAGGAAGTCAATATCTCCATAGCTTTGGAGGTTGGATTCTTTCAGAATGAGGTGAATGGAAGACCATGTGGATCATTTCTATTTATTTAAAATTCAAGGCCAGACATAATAAAATAAGAGGAACTTGATAAGATAATTTTTGTCTCCTAGGAAAGCACTGTCTTAGAACCCAGCTCACCTGATTTTGCCGATGAGTCAACTTCGAAGTGTGCCTCATTCCGGAAAGTGAATCACGTAATCACAGTAAGTTACACACATAACAGGCATAGATGGCTCCTTGCTGTTATGTTTAAGCCAGTGGTGTACCACCTTTTCTGTCTGTAATTCTTCACATTTGTGAGATTAGGTCAATATAAAGGGCTACACTTTTTTGACAAGGATGTGGTTGCCATGTTAGCTTCTTATGCCCTTAACTGTCATTTTGAAGATCAAGTTTAATTTCCCAGACTTTGGATTGAAGAAAAACTCAATTCCCAGTTAGCTTTACGTGGCTACAACATTATGACACACTTCTATCGAGAAATATAAAGGTAATTCCTATGATTGACACTAGGATTTTCCTGGCTTTGTGTGTAGTTTACATGTGTGTTATACAATGATATCCGTAATGCCACTAGACCGGGCTCCGTTAGTTCTGTTTTAGTTAACGTATTAGTCTGTTGTGCCTTATTATACAGGAATACCTGGGGTTGGGCAATTGAAAAAGAAAAGAGGGTTGTTTGGCTCACAGTTCTGCAAGCTGTATAAGCATAGCACCAGCAACTGCTTGGCTTCTGCAGAGGCCCCTGGAAGCTTCCAGTCATGGTGGAAGTTGAAGGGAAGGCAGGGATGTCACATGTTGGAAAAGGAAGCAAGAGAGAGGGGAGGGAGGCACCAGGCTCTTTAAACAACCAGCTCTCACATGAACTAATAGATCAAGAACTCACTCAGTTCCACAGGGGATTCCTGAGGGCTCTACTCTCATGACCCAAACACTTCCTAACCAGCCCGCCTCCAACACTGGGGGTCACATTTCAGTGAAATTTGGAGGGACTGATATCCAAACTATATCAGTTGTAATTGATTACATTAATGAATTTTCACTATTTTACTGGTGGCTCTTAGGATAAAACTTCAAGGATTTTAATATTAACCTATGACACATGTTAGCTTGTGACAGAACCAAGCCTTTAGTATCACCCAAACTACCAGGCAACATGTGACTTTTTTTTACATGGCAGAATATACTTCATTGTATGCCAAGACCAGCTCTGTCCGGGAGACCTTAACCGAGTGGTACTAGAGGAATTAAAGACACACACACAGAAATATAGAGGTGTGAACTGGGAAATCAGGGGTCTCAAAGCCTTCAGAGCTGAGAGCACTGAACAGACATTTACCAAGGTATTTAGTAACAGCAAATCAGTCATTAGCTTTGTTTCTATAGATGTTAGATTAACTAAAAGTATCCCTTATGGGAAACGAAGGGATGGGTGGAAATAAAGGGATGGGTTGTGCTAGTTATTTGTAGCGGGAGCATGTCCTTAAGGCACACATCGCTCATGCTATTGTTTGTGGTTTAAGAAGGCCTTTAAGCAGTTTTCCGCCCTGGATGGGCCAGGTGTTCCTTCCCCTCATTCTGGTAAACCCACAACCTTTCAGCGTGGGCATTATGGCCATCATGAGCATGTCACAGTGCTGCAGAGATTTTGTTTATGGCCATTTTTGGGGCCAGTTTATGGCCAGATCTTAGGGGGCCTGTTCCCAACAACTGTATTTCCATGTTCCGCAAAGTTTTTTGGGCATAGGGCACTTATATTAATGAAAATTTATATTTATGTATCATGTAAATATTTAAATTGTTTAAGTGCATTTTGGCATTATGCACTTCATAAATATATGTTGTAATTGTTAAAAATATTAGGTAAAAAATAAATGTAAATTGCAGTTATGATCGTTTCTTTTTGCCTACCCTGGGGGTATGTGCTTTCTATTTGGACTTTTCTGCCAAGGTCACAAAATCATGGTTACATCCACCTTTCATATAACTAGGGAAATAAAAACAAATCAACATTACCATTCTGGAAAGAACTTTTCTGAGTCTTTTTGTCCAACTACTTGTTTTTTAGGCACAATTAGGAGATTGTTTCTAAGACAATATTAATAATTAATTCTATGTGGTTTTCAAAGTTTCAAATTTTAAAGAACTCACTCAATCATGTGACAGAGCATAATTATCTCAAATAACAGGAAAAGCATGTAAGTGATGACATGACTGTGATTCATTTCCTCTCTGTGGTCACTGTTTGACTTTTTGGGATCAAATGTTCACTTGAGAGCCAGGGGTGCCTGGGACCTGGGAAAAAATGCATCCCTGCCCAGGATCCTCATTCTGTGAGTCACACAGACAAAACCAAGGGTTGGTGAGTGACAACTAAGACCAAGGTTGGAACCTGCTCATAGGAGAAGCTTCATTTGGTCCTTCTCCAGCAGCACCTATATAGCCACTTCTAATCCACAATTCGAGGGATGGAAGGGCATATTCAGTTTTTCTTCCTTGGTAATTTGAAACCAACTTGATAACAGCTTGTTCAAATGAGGAATGGATAGAACATCTGTTTAAATCAACCCTCAGAGTGAGAGATGGAACTTTTGTGTGCCTAATATTCCCATTGGCTAACTCAGTGCTTAAGCCTCCATATCATGGCTTCTGAGAGCTTTCACCCAAATGCCCAGTGTGAAGGCATGGTCCTGTCAGGAGTGGTTTTTCTGCTTGGAGATGGCTTTTGCTTCACATCTTTCTATTCTCCAAGGCTGTTTACTTCGCCACCTATCCAGAAAGAATTTTTTTTTTTTTTTTTAATGATTCCATAATTTTTTAGTACTGGAAAATTTTTCAGTGTTTTCACATACATTATTTCATTTGATGTTCATAATCTTCAGGGTAAATAGGGTAGGTTGTTGGTGTCCGTATATTATGGATAATGAATCAGAGATTCAGAGAGGGTAAATCTGATTTCTACTGCAAACAAAAAGCAGAAAAATTATAGCAGAGGAAGCATATTTCATTCTAGTTTTCAGCATATCTAGATTAATTCTGGTTTATTTTTAATTTCAGCTAAATATGTTACACTTCCTCAACTGCTGTCCTGGGGTTCATTGAGGTGGAGCCACCTAGACATCATATACATGCCTTGGCTGCATTTACATCTCACCCCTCCTGCTTCCCCAAGTATAATCACCCCAGTGCTATTAAACAGATTATAAGAAAATGAAGTGTTCAGTGCTAACTCCAAAATTCCAGGCGCTATGATACTGCTGCACACATCCAAAGGGACTTCCTACTTTAAGAAGCTCCCTTTTAAATGAAACTCTTGACTTCTTAGTGTTGCCTCAGAAATGTGCTTTTCATTACAGAGAATATTACAGAGAGAGTTCTGCTGCCTCATGGAGGAGCCACAGGAACTGTGCACAATCTTTCTTACCACAGAGTCACAAGGAGAAAATTGGCAGCTTAGGAGACCAACCAGCTAAATGAGATATGTCAGCCGACAAACAGCTTAAATACTCTTGGATCATTTTTCCTCTACTTTATCGAGTAGTTTTAGTTTGAGGGAAGTGAATGATCTTCTGGGTGGCTTCCTTACTCAAGATTTCTCTGTCTCTGTCTTCTTAGGCGTTTGTTTCTTTATGCCTGGATCTGCCACTTCACATTTCGCCTTTTTTTCCATATCTACCTCTGACTCTATCTTCGTGTTTTTGTCTGTCCCTTTATTTTCTTTATTTTTGGTTTCTCTTTTTCATTTTCTCTTATATTGTCAGTCACCTTAATTTCTATAAACACATAATTATCACTAACAATTAAAGAGCTTTATAAATGATGATGAAAATTTGAAACAAATTTCTTAAAGAATCTTTGAATCATTGTGTGTGTGTGTGTGTGTGTGTGTGTGAGAGAGAGAGAGAGCGAGAGAGAGGAGAGAGAGAGAGAAAGAGAAAAGTATTTATTGTTGACCTGTGATTTCCTCAATCCCAACCCTAAATGTGAGTTGTAGAACTTGGATTTGAACCTGCAGCCAGTTAGGGACCAGAGCATCTGCTTTTTAGCACCACATCACACTGCCTTCCTCCTGGTCTCCAAACGTATAACTGAAATATTATTGTAACTGAAATATTATTGTATCTTGCTCTTAGTACCTCTCCTGTATAAATGCACTCTTGCATTTCTTTTCAAATAACTATAATTCTAGATACATTTGCATAAATAGGATTAGAATCTTGCAAAAGTATATTCTTTCCAGAGAGTGTCTGCACAGGAGAAGGAGGCCAGCAGATGTCAGTCTCACCTCAGTAGAAGAGCTGAGAATAGTTTCATTGTGGCTTTTCTTCATGGGAGTTTGCTTTTTTTGAATGAACTTTCAAATAACCACACTCAGGGGAGCGCACACTCATAGGAGCTCACATTCAGACAAGTGCACATTCAGGGGAGCGCACACTCAGAGGAGACCACACTCAGAGGAGCACACTCAGATGAGTGCACACTCAGAGGAGCTCACAGTCAGGGGAGCACGCACTCAGGGGAGCACACACTCAGGGGAGCATGCAATCAGGGCAGTGCACACTCAGGGGAGTGCATGCTCAGATGAACGTGCACTCAGGGGAGCACGCACTTAGAGGAGCACAAACTCAGAGGAGTGCACACTCAGGGGAGCGTACACTCGGGGGAGTGCATGCTCGGGGGAGCGCACACTAGGGGGAGCGCACACTCAGGGAAGTGCACACTCAGGGGAGTGCACACTCAGAGGAGCGCACACTCGGGGAGCGCACACTCAGAGGAGCGCACACTCAGGGGATTGCACACTCTGGGCACACTCAGGGGAGCGCACACGGGAGCGCACACTCAGGTGAGCGCACATTCAGACGAGCGCACCCTCAGGGGAGTGCACACTCAGGGGAGTGCACACTCAGACGAGCGTGCCTCAAGGGTGCGCACATTCAGGGGAGTACACACTCAGGGGAGCGTGCACTCAGACCAGCGTGCACACTCAGGGGAGTGCACACTCAGGTGAGCACACACTCAGGGGAGCGCACACTCAGACAAGCGTGCACACTCGGGAGCGCACACTCAGGGGAGTGCACACTCGGGGGAGCACACACTCAGGGGAGCGCATACTCAGGGGAGTGCACACTCAAGGGAGTGCGCACTCAGACAAGCGTGCACACTCAGAGGAGTGCACACTCGGGGGAGCGCACACTCACACCGG